ATGAAGAAGTGGATAGAGAAAAAAGTGTCAAGAAATTGAGCATGGAAGAACAGAAATAGCAGTAAAAAAGCGTGCCAACTGGTAAAGGACTTCAATACCTAGAAGCATGGAAGTACTAACACAATTCAAGACAAAAACAATAGTTGATTAACCGAGGAAAAGAGTGTGATAAGAAGGCCATATTGATGCCATTGCCACCTCCCCATCCCACCAAATCAGCCAACATACTAGAGGGGGGAGGGCGAAATAATCTAAAATAGGTTGAAATATAAATAATTAGTATATAATATTAACATAACTAATATATTCGTATACAAATTGTGTGCTTTCTTTACTAATTCATTGCCCCCCCCCCCCTTTCCCTATTTAAAAAAGAAGTAAAATCTGACCCAGGAAACTACAGAGTTACCAGCATCACAGGTAAAATCCTAGAACACATAATATGTAGCAACATCATAACCACTTAGACAAACATAATGTCCTTACTTCATACTAACATGGCTTTAGGAAATATAGATCATGTGAAACACAACTAAAATTGATGATTTTTTAAAAGCATTAGATAATAGTGAGCAAATAGATGCTATATTATTAGACTTTCCAAGACTTTTTGACAAAGTTCATCACCATAGTTTGCTTAAAAAATTAAAATATTTTGGCATTGATGGTCCATTGCATCAGTCGATTAAGGATTTTCTGATATGGAGAGAACAAACTAATAATAAATGGCTTTAAATCAACACCAATAACAGTAAACTCAGGTTTTACCTCAAGGAACAGTCTTAGGTCCACTACTATCTTTATAAATAAAAAACCACCCTTTGTGTCAGTATTTTATGATTTTACCATCACAAAAAAGATACAAGACACTGATAGCAAAGACAAACAGACACAATCACTCTTTTGTTCCCCTGGCAATCAAATCATTAAATAGGAACCATCTGATATAAACTTTGTCACATGTAAATTATGAGTGAGTCTGGTGTGATTGTACATTTTGGTTTCTTATAGTTTTTTTATAATGTTTTTTGTTTGGTGTAATGCACAAATTGTAAGACAAATTTTCGTATGTACAATAAATATTATTACTATTATTATCATTATTAAATTGCATTAGTTCAGGAACAAAAGTTAGATTATTTGCAGACCATTGCATAATATATTGAACAATGAAAAAAAAAAACGAGATACAGAAATTTTACAAAGAGAATTAGATAAATTACAGAAATGGGAATCAAATTTGAGCATGTCTTTCCACCCCAAAAAATGTCAGTTATTAAGAGTAACAAAAAAACTGAAACAAATTAATTCCACTTATTTTATTCATGGTAAACCACTAACACGGACTAAAAACGCAAAATACCTAGGTATTATAATAAATGAAAAACTGTCATGGAATCCCCATATTGATGAAACTATCAAAAAATCAAACTAAGCATTAGAGTTTATTAAACAAAATTTCTATAAACAAATAAGAACATAAAACTTAAATGTTGTTTTTGGTTATGTCAATAATAGAATATGCACCCTATGTTTGGGACCCCTCAACTCAAGAAAACATTAAGAAACTGGAACAGATACAAAAAAGAGCAGTGAGATTCATAACAAACGAATATTCGCATTTAAATAAATTAAAGCTTTTATATAGCGCTACTTTCATGCTAATAGCATGCTCAGAGTGCTTTGGTCAAATCTCATTTGTGGACCAGTGGGGGGGGGGGGTGGGGGGAGAAGAGGTGTCTAAGGGAAGGTTTTTCCATGCTGCCTTCAGGGGCTCAGTAAACACAACTCTGACCAAGTCGGGTGTCGAACCTCTAGCCCCCTTCAAAGGTAGCCAAGCCAAGCCAAGTTCAAGCACACTTAGCCTCTTGACATTTGACTAGAGTAACACCTTTAGTAAAATCACTAAATTTATAAAGGTTTCAGGATAGAAGACTCAAAAGTAAAGTAGCAATTATACATAAACTCTGAAACTTAATCTTCAAATACAAAACAAAATCTAATAAAATACTCAAAAAGACACAAGGATAAGGGCACATTCCTTGTTCCATATGCTAGGACAATTTTGTACAAATGCTCCTTCTTTCCTAGTGCTATAAAAGCATGGAATGGGTTGCCTGAGCTAGCCAGGATAACCAGCGACTTAGCAGAATTTAGGTCATTGGTTAATATAATGCATGACTAAATGCTTTACGCCTAGGAAGTAATCATCTTCTTTTTTTGAAGTATTATATACAATAAGAAAGATATAGGCCTATGTATACGAATAGGTGCCAGTACTCAGTGAATAGGTGATGGTACTCAGTAGTTGATTGCCTAAATTTAACTACTAAAAATTAATAATATATGTTAAAATACAGGAAAAGTAATCTTTTTTTCAAAAAGGTCACAAAAAAAGCCCTGCATAATCACTGTATTATGATTATGGCAATTATGTATAATATATATTAAAGTATTTTAAATGTATTATTAGTATATAATTATAATTACAATTTTATAATTATATATTTAGTATATAGACACAGTATTATTATACTCAATATATAGAATATAGATCTATAATAGAGATTAGACTTAGACTACTTAGTCTTAACATCAGTTACTAGACTAAACTAGAATTACTAGATCTAACTTCTAGATCTAAGTCTAAATTAAATCATATGATATAAAATAAAAATGTAGATCTATTAACTTAAGTTAAGACATTACGTATTATTTTAAAGTATAGGTATTATATCAATTAATATTTTATATTCAATAATAGATATTTGGAGGCCCTAGATCTATATTGATCTAGTCATTACTTACCAGAACTCTTAACTCTAATCAGAGTCTAATCTCATTAAACTAATGCGGGGCCGTTAGACTAGACTTAGAATGTGGATCTAGTGATCTAGTCAAGAGTGGATTTTTGTTCGCGGAAGTCCTGCATTTGCTAAATTTAGTTTAGGAAATTTCGATTGAATTTATACTCTAAATATAGATTTATGCGTATCCGAAGGTGAAAGTTCCTCCATCATCTTTTTTGAAGTAACGTCTGTATTATATAAGATAAGATAAGATAAGATACGTATCAACCAATGACTTAAATTCTGCCAAGTCACTGGTTTTCCTGGCTAGCTCAGGCAACCCATTCCATGCTCTAAAATAGCACTGGGAAAGAAGGAGTATTTGTACAAATTTGTCCTAGCATATGGAAGGGGGAATGTGCTTTTATCTTTGTGTCTTTCAGAGTATTTTATTAAATTTTGTTTTTGTATTTGAAGATTATGGTTCAGTTATGGTTTACTTTACTTTTGAGTCTTCTGTCCTGAAGGTTTTCTAAATTTAGTGATTTTACTAAGGTGTTACTCGAGTCTTCTTATCTTATCTTATATAATACAGACGTTAGTTCAAAAAAGAAGATGATTACGTCCTACGCGTCATGCATTTAGTCATGCATATTAACCAATGACTTAAATTCTGCCAAGTCACTGGTTTTCCTGGCTAGCTCAGGCAACCCATTCCATGCTCTAATAGCACTAGGGAAGAAGGAGTATTTGTACAAATTTGTCCTAGCATATGGGATGAGGAATGTGCCCTAATCCTTGTGTCTTTTTGAGTATTTTATTAGATTTTGTTTTGTATTTGAAGATTAAGTTTCAGAGTTTATGTATAATTGCTACTTTACTTTTGAGTCTTCTGTCCTGAAGGCTTTCTAAATTTAGTGATTTTACTAAAGGTGTTACTCTAGTCAAATGTGAATATTCATTTGTTTTGAATCTCACTGCTCTATTTTATGTCTGTTCCAGTTTCTTAATGTTTTCTTGTGTATTCACTTACAATAAAAAGACGTCATTTAAATTCACTCTGGCATTCTGGAGTCGTATGTCGTACTTAACATTCAGCTCACATCATCGCCGCTTATCCAGTACAAACTAACATTAAATGAATGCTCCCTCTCTACAACTAACAATAAATACTCCCTTTCTTCATACCTGAGAACTAGAAACGTAAACACACTACACAAAGAGCTAGATGTATCATCGAATTATAGATCTATATCATGAGTGTCTCGTAGATCTAATTATTATGAAACACGCAATATCTTTTTTGGTTGTTTTTTTTTTAAGAAAGAAAAATATTCGAGGGACCACAGACCTATATATATACTAAATATATACTGAACATGAAGAACTTTTAACATTGATGGCTAAAACATTTTTGGCATTGATGGTCCATTGCATCAGTGGATTAAAGATTTTCTTATAGGGAGAGAGCAAACTGTAATAATAAATGACTCTAAATCAACACCAATAACAGTAAACTCAGGCGAACCTCAAGGAACAGTCTCAGGTCCACTACTTTTTTAAATTTACTTAAACGATTTACCAAATTGCATTAGTTCAGGAACAAAAGTCAGATTATTCGCAGATGATTGCATAATATATAGAACAATAAAAACAACACAAGATACAGGAATTTTACAAAGAGAATTAGATGAATTAAAGAAATGGGAATCAAATTGGAGCATGTCTTTTCACCCAGAAAAATGTCAGTTATTAAGAGTAACAAAAAACCTAAAACAAATTAATTCCACTTATTCATGGTAAACCAGTAACGCAGACTAAAAACGCTGTGTTCGAAATAAACAGCAAAACGTTAGCCAAAATTTAGCTTTGGGATGATTATATTTTGAGCAACCTTAACGGTCTGACCAGAGGCATTAGACATATATTTTCTTCACAAAGATTTACATAAAATGTCAAATTTCTAGGAAAATCGTAAACCGTTTTTTGAAATATCCTCCCAGTGTCCGCCAAGAAACCACTATTTGAGTTTGGAAGCTAATTGGATGAATTGTTTGTAAAAAAAAAATTAAAATTAATTAATACAAAATTTTAAAAAAATACTGAGATCTGGATGATTCTCTTTTAAAATTATTTATTACTCACACTTTTATATAAAGTAATAGATTACAACGTTTTATATATATATATATAAATTATTTATATATTAAAACCCTTTTTTTTACAAATATTATTTAAAAACTTTAATTTAAAAACATCTCTCCACATTATGTGATGTTATCATATCCAAAGACTTCTTAGCTATTACAAGTGCTATCCTAATATAATTATGACCCTTAATTTCATATTATTAATAGCAAGTAGACCAAGTAAGTAAAAGTAACAAACAGAAAAGCTTAAACAATTTGATTCGGTAGTGCTAAAATGTGCACAGAATTATCACAAAACGTTTTAAAAACATAGCTTATAAGCACTTCCTTTTTGTATACCGGATACTCCAAAAAAAGCTTGTCTTACAAACATCTCTCTACTTGTCTTACAAACATCTCTCTACTAACTTGAACCCTGGCCTACAAGCACCTTGCTAAGCCACTGCTCCACTCTACGACATCCAAAAACTTCTTAGCTATTATGAGTGCAATTTTAATATCATAGTCAACCTTAATATCATATTATTAATAACAAGAGGACGCATTTCATACAGTGCATCTATAGACCGTTGATCAGAAATATATATACACACACAAACAAGTCACTTGGCTTCTGAACCAAGAGGGCCACAAGTTCTAATCCCGGTGACATGTTGGTTTTAAAACTTAAATTATTTTACGGCATTCTTGAGTGCACCAAACTTGTCCCTGAGTGCACCCAACTTTAATGTACTCTTGAGATTATTGGGGGAAAGTAAAGTCGTTGTACTGACCCCTGGTCATTCTCGTTAACTGTACGCCAGTGAACAACAAAAAAAAGTTATACTTCGTGCTACCCATGATCCATTGATTCTGCCCCAAATACACCAGGGAAGGTAATGGATATGCAACATTGAAAAAACATACATAATAAATATATTAAAGAATATTTGCAAATCACAATGCCAATGTTATCGAAAGTAAAACTTTACAACAAATCCTAAGCTTTATAGATGCTGAAAATTTGTTCTAGTGTTTCACTATGTAGTCCTGCTCAGGAACATTGAGTCGCTTTTTTTTTAGTGATTTGCTATTGTAAAGGTTTGCTGCTGTAGTGATGTTCTGCTGATTTTCTGTTGTAGTGATTTTCTGGTGAAGCGATTTTCTGTTATATTGATGTCCCGCTGTAGTGATTTTTCTTTTGTAGTGATTTTCTGCTGTGTTGCTATGATGCTGTTGTGATTCTCTTCTGTAGTGATGTTCTGTTGTGCTGTAAGGATGTGGTACTGATTTGCTTTTGTAGGCTTATTCTTTATCATGCAAACACATTTTTAGCATGTTTCTTATTGGTAAACAAATATTTGCGCAGAATTTAGACAAGTCCAAATATTTTCTTAGAGTCCCATTCTTCATTAATACATTTCTCACACATATTTCTTATACACATTTCTCACAAACTTTCTCCACACACGTTTCTCACCAAAAATTTATCACACACATTTCTTTCACGCACATTTCTCTCACGCACATTTCTCACAAGAAACTGTACTTTTGACAATATGCATGATCTTATCCCAGTTTATTAAGCCTGTCTTGACGTCATCAAGAAGCCGTAACGTGTCGACCAGCGCCTGGAGGGTGGCTCGGCTGGCGAATTTCTGGATCCAATTGATGAGGCCGCAGGTGCCATTGGGAATGTTAAGCCCCCTCTTGTCCTGCACGAGTATTTCTACGTTGCTCTTTTCAAAGCCGAGAAGCATCAAAGTGCTGGGCCAGTAGTCTTCCATGGCATAACCAAGCAACAACGCCTGTTTTTGGGTTACTCGTTGGTTTCTGACGTCATTAGAAAGTGTGTAAAACCAGGAATCTAAAAAAAAATACGAAACAAAATTGTTATTTCAATAACTTCCATTTAGTTTTTGCAAACTTAAAAGTATACGAGACAAACTGCATTGTTAAAGTACAATCACTAAAATTTTCATTCGTCTTTATATCCTTTAAAAAAAAAATTATTAATGAATTTTGATCTGCCATTGCACTCGTTTTTAGCGGCCTCCGAAAATGGAAAACCCGCACATGATTTTATTTCGTCTGGCCGTCCATGCGTAACTTTTATTCTAAAAAAATAGGCAATATATTAAGAATCTAATTTTAAGAAATTTTACAGCTTGCAAACCTCTGATGATAAGATAATTTTTATTGGTCCAATCAAATGGAAATTCACTTTGACTACAATTAACCACCTCAGCGTAACTACTGTACAATAACAATATAGATGCAATATAGACGGTGGTTAGCGCGGCCTTCAGCAGCTTATAACGGGCGGGGCGGATCCGGATGCCGTGCCTCACGTATTTGTTACGATCCGATCGACCGCATTGGTCGTTATCATTGTTGAATCTTCAGAAAGTCTTGAGGTGAAGAGCTTCCGGTTCACGCCTGAACGTTGGGTAAAATCCTTTCTAAAGGTCATTTGGACAATGTCCATTGCCTATGAAAATCGTTAGAGAAGTTTTTTTAAATCCGTGTCCACTTTTAGCTTAGTGTCATAAACATAAGAAAATCTTTCTATCAACAAGAGAACTTCAGATGATCAGGGGGATGCGATAATAAGCAAGTGAGGTAATTATGTTGTAATTTCTATTAAACGTATGCATACAGTTTTGTCAAAACATCCAAACTCTCTTTCAAATCCTGTTCAAGAAATTCGCTGAAAGATTTATTTTAAAAAAAGAATTATTATTTCCACTATCATACGCTGAACAATTTATTTTCCGCCACAAATAAGTTACTATAAAATATCTACTGTATAGCAGGGCCGGCCTTAGACATAGGCAAACAAAGCAGCCGCTCACAGCCTCCAATGGGTGGTCGCCTCTCATAGGACTTAATTTTTTTTTTTCAGAAAAAAATGTAAAGCTTGGATCAGATCTCAACCATAGTAGAGCACTTGGACTCAATGTTTACTGATAGACATATACAAGGAATGGAAACTACGATACATGAATTTCAGCTTTTAATAAATCATATAATTGTATTTTTTCGCTGTGTCTTTAAATTTAAAAAAAATTCATTTAGTGCCAGCAAATTCGCTTCCTCTAGAGCCTTTAATCACCAAATGCCGGCACTGTGCATAGTCCTAATACCATAAAAAAAATCGAGTTTGAATGTTATTGATAGAGTTGTTTGATGGATACAAAACATGTACAGAAATATCTTACAAGGCTTGTGCTCTTTCAGATCCCTGGAGGTCTCTAAGTGTAACTCATCAAGCGTAGCAGACTCACTAAGTAGAAAGAAAAATGAATAAGAAATAAGCAAAATGTAAGCAAAATGTAAGCAAAATCATCTTTTAAAATATAAAGCTTAACTAAAGAAGAAAAAAACAACAATTCCGCATTTACGGTAATACCTCTCAGCAATATAGACGTTATTTCCCTTATTCGATATAAACAAATACTTAATAGACCTGCTAACCACTGTCAACATACGCAACTTAAACTTGATTGACATATCACAAGACCCATTGTGATAGTATAAAATTTGGGAAACAGTAAAAAAAAAAATTTAAAAAAAACAAGAAGCGGCAAAGAAAGCGATTGGAAGACAGAGTGGACAGGCCTTTCATTGAGAAAGATTTGTATTCAATGCAAAGACAGAGAGGAATGGAGAAAGATGGTTGACAGATCATGTGTGATGCCCCAACGGTTAACCAAACTACTTGACAGGTAAAGGTGAAATCATTTGATGATTCGGGAAAGCCGTTTCTTGCTTTAATAGCACTAGAGAAGAATAAGCACTTGGTTATTTCTCATGTTATCTCTCATGTTATTTTTAATTTTTCATGTTATGTCTTATGTTATTTCTAATGTAATGTCTCATGTAATGTCTCATGTTATGTCTCATGTTATGTCTTATGTTATGTTTCATGTTATGTCTTATGTTATGTTTCGTATCATGTCTCATGTTATGTCTTATGTTATGTTTCGTGTTATGTCTTATGTTATGTCTTATGTTATGTCTCATGTTATGTCTTATTTTATGTCTTATGTTATGTCTTATGTTATGTCTCATGTTATTTCTAATGTTATGTCTTATGTTATGTTTCGTGTTATGTCTTATGTTATTTCTCATATCATGTCTCATGTTATGTCTCATATCATGTCTCATGTTATGTCTCATGTTATGTCTTATGTTATGTCTCATGTTATGTCTCATGTTATGTCTCATGTTATGTCTCATGTTATGTCTCATGTTATGTCTCATGTTATGTCTCATGTTATGTCTCATTTATTACAACACTAACTACAGTACCAACTTACTTATTGGGGACTAATTCAAGTGCGCATGTCTGCAGTCGTTCATCGAGTATGTCATCATCCTCTAATTTTTCACACGTCCCATCAGCATGACTGAAGTACACACTAAACTCCAAAAGATCTTCTGTTTGAGACAGCTGTCTTTTAAACTAGCAAAACAAAAGAGTTATACAGTTTAAAAAGAAGTATACAATGTATATCTTTTAAACACAACTTCAAGAATCAGATTGCCACTTTTAAGGTTTATGATGGCATGATGAGTCGTATTTCTAGTGAAATAATTGCTGCTAAGTAATATTGGAAATGTCTCCCAGCAGTAGCGTCATTAGGGTTGGTGTCTTCTTTTAAGTTGGTTGATAAAATATTATTTTAACTTAAATCCATGTCCTTCAAAACTGTTCTCTTTACCATGAGGCCCGTACAAGACACAGGCCCCAAAACACCCTAATAGTAAGAAAACTATATGGAGAGCTCCCTGATTTGGAAACCACTGCGCAGTTCATCTCATGTATTGGTCTAGTCATCTAGACGTCACACCATAATAATAAAAACGAGGAAGAAGAAGAAAACTTAAATCCAGACATCTTAACTCGTTCGATGCTTCAATATTTTTGAATTGTTAGTTGGAAAACCCAGCTAAAAATTCAAATACTAAAATCAAAAGATGTTTACTCTTTTATCTATTCTTTAAAAAGCGGGATAAAAAATAGACAAAATAAATTATTCTTGCATAAGGGAAAGTAACTACAGTAAAGTAAGAATAGTTTCCCTTTCAGACCATGCGGTCAATAGGGACAATGATGTTAAGTTCATCTGTTTCTTTGGCCAACTGTTAACGAGCAGGGTGTCATGTGGCCAGCACAACGACCAACCGCCTTTACTGTTATCATCTAAATCCATGTACCTTTTAGAGTTGGGTAGACTCAGGGACGCCTTAAAAATCTCGAATTTCAAAATCCCAGTCTTCACATAGACTTCAGGCTCAGAAGCCAAGCGCTTAACCACTCAGCCACCGCCCCCCCCAATAACTATAACATATGTAAAAGTAAAAAAAACAACAAATTTGATTATAAATATTTATAAT